AGGCTGCCGTGAGGGGATTTGGGTTTCTTTTTCCCTCTCCACATAGACACTCGCGCAGACACTTCAAACGTTACTAATTGCCCAAGAGTATCTCTTACACCCCTCGCTGGAGGAGGTAGGAGCGCAGAGGGTCGTGCCCGCCGCCCCGGGGCGAGCGCAGGGATGCAGCTCTCGTGTAGCTGAAGTGCGGACCAGTCGGAATATGCTGCAGACCATTTATGAGAGTGAATCGTGTTTTTCCTCAGATGGGGTTTCTGGACGTGAACAGCTCTTGGCTCAGCAACGAATGCACAGTATGATCAGCTCAGGTAAGAGACAGCTCCGTCCCTAAGTGGCTGGCCGGGGAAAACAGCCGAGCGCGACAAGAAACCCCCTTTAAAGACGTGACTGTATTTTGTGGGCTTTATGTAAGCTGGTAAATAATTGTGGTAGGGTGTTAGGCAGCAGCTTCTGCTTCTGCAGGGAGTTTGTCCCCTTCAGTCTGCTGCTTTCCAGCCAGAGCAAAAGGCTCGCAACCGAAATCGAGTTGGGGATTCCTGGTTTGTTTTGGTGCGTGGTTGCAAAGTGGGGCTCGTTCGCAGGGAGAGGCTCCCCCCGGCACACCTTGGCAGGAGGCAGCGGTGGGAGTCCCTCGCAGGCAGCTCTGGGGGTGTGCCTCTTGTAAACAGGATTTGGTCTGGCTGTGAGTTTCCTTTTTTCCGATTTGCACACAAAGGGAGTTTAATACTAATCACTTTCTCTTTCACAGCGCTACTTTTAAAATGCCTTTAATGTGCGTGGCTTATTCCGATTCTTTAAAAATGTTTGTGAGCCTGACGATGGTAGGCATATGCAGTGACTCATTGAGATGTAAATGTGATGTATTTCAAAGCTGCTCTGAAAGAACATGACATTTCCTCATGTATTTGAAGCTACCCTTGTGTTTTCTAGTTTCTTTGCTAGCTGTGTTTGAGACCTACAAATGATGTACTGAGGATGAATTCAGTTGGGAGAATTATTGCCATTCAGATAATATGTCAACTTAAGCTAAAAAAAAAGTAAAAATCTTTCCCAGTCACTCTTAAACTTTGTGAATTCCAGTTCTCTTTTTATTGAGCTGAAAATCTATCTATTGAGGCACAATGCTACCTGTTTTATATCTTTCTAACCCTAGGCTTCTGACTTTGTTTTCCATAAAGTTGGCTTTATAGAAGACCTATATGTAGAATGCAGAGTGAATTGTTTACATCTACTTCAGTGTATTTCTTAGTTTACCTCCCTTTTTCCTCTTTTCCCTTCACAAAACTTGACAGTGTTTCTCAGTTTTTAAGAGTCATGATATGTGTAGATCACAGCTCCCTTCACATATTGCCTGTTTTGGTACACCTGTTGAGCCCATGTTTGGTTGTTTAAAAAAACCCCTCTTTCCGTTCCTGCTTTATAGAAAAAGTTTTACTTGTGTTTCTTTCTTACATCCATTTTTAAAGCAGATTTCTGGTTTCAGATCTGAAAATAAATTGGGTGAGATTGTGTCAGATGATAATAGAAAAGTCTTAGATATGTCCTGGACTCGTGGTTAGTATTTTTCAATATAGAAAGCCAAAGGTACTTCATAATGATTATAGACTGGATGAGAGATTGAAAAGCTTTTGTGTGCAGGTTGAAGTAGTGAGAATACCTAAAGGGAATGGAGATTTCCAGCTGGTAATGTTTTTAAGACTGGCGGTTTTTCTATTTCTTCATAAAGCTGCTGGGTTGGTTTGTTTCTTTTTGGATCTCTCAAAGGGTTTGCTGTTTCTCTAACTTCTTCAAAGAGATGTTGATCACCACTTGCAGTTCCTTTGTCAAGGACAGAAAGCAGGCGAAAGGCTTGTTGACAGATATGAACAACTAAGCCCTAGCAAAGACAGTGGGTAAAAGCAGAAATTTCTCTGAAAACATTATAGTTCTTAAAAGCCTTCTACAATGTCAACCTCTTGTTCAAGAATTACTGCTTTTCTTTGGTTTTCCTGAGCAGCACAACAGGTGCCCGCTGCTTTTTTATTGGTCACAGAGATAAGACTGACTGCTTCCTCTCTCTCCTGTTGTTTGGGGTTTTTTAATGCTATGTCAAATTGAACTTAGCTGTACACAAGTGAAAATTTGTTTTATTAGCTGGCTGTGGTACCCTGTAACCACCAATTAATGTTGCTTGAGTAATACCAATTTTCTCATTTGAAACACAGGAAAGGGAGGTAATTTTCTGTAAGTTTATAGCTCTGCTTTTCTTCACCGGAGACAAGAATATCATGTAACAGTTGATTATTATCTGATACTACAGTAGGCCTGTATAACATCTACAGTTGCCCCTGTAGTACCAGGTAGAATACTGGGTTTAGGCTTCAAGAAAAAAACCACACAACTTAGTGAAGAACATTATCCAGGTGAAAGATGCTTAAATATAGATTGTGTAGAACACAAAACATTCCTCAGTGTTTCTGTTGTTTAAAATACACAACTAGACATTGTACATAGTCTGCAGTTTAATTCATGTCACATGAAACCACAAAGCCTGATGCTGCTGCCGATTACCTTCTCCAGATTTCAGGGTTTTGCAGGATCAGGCCTGGTAACTTTTCAGGTATTGACTCCCTCTGTGGTGCATACAGGGGAGACAAAAGTAGGCAGGGTATGATGATGGGCTCTAGTGTTTTGAGGAGCTAGAATCAGTCATTTGAATTTTGCTTACTGCAATGTCCATACTTCCAAGCTATCCTCACTTACACATCTATGACTTTTGCTCAGGTTGAAAACTTGCTCGTGCTTTTAAGAAAAGCACGGATCCCTCAATGTTTACACTCTGCATCCTTGATATTCTTGAAGTCTTCAAAGCAAGCACAACTTAAACACTCGGCAGATTTTCAGTTTTGCTAGTTTACAGCTGCAAAGGGCCTGTATTTTAAACTGGAACCATCCCCATAGAGGACAGATTCAATGGTCGGTGGATATGGGTTTGCAAAGCAAGCTGTCTAAGCAACTTCTGACAATAGCAGGCATAGAAGTACTTCTGTCATGTGAAGCAGTTCTTCTGGTGTTACCTTAGTTACTGCTTTCCCTGTCTGTCTCCATCCCTGCTTGTAAATCATACTATGAATGAGATGATCTGGATAGGTATCCAATCAAAAGTCTAATTATGAATGGAGCAATTTAGATCGGCACTGACTCAAGAAGCTGTGTAATTTTGCAGACACCTACACCTTTAGAGAGCAGTTTCAGCTATCTTGAAAAGACTGAACTAGATTCTCCCATATGGCACTGTTGTTTCAAAAGGCAGCAGTAAGTGCTGTGCATCTTTATTTAAAGAAAATGAACCTGATACATTCTTATTTGATACCATAATTGTTTTAATTTCCTGATTTAAAAAAAAAATAGTTCTGGAGTCTAAAGCCTCTTATTTAGCTGGAATTACAGTGTAATGATGCTGTTCATTTTATTTTAGCCAAAAGCCTCAAATTCCGTGTGTGTGCAGTGCCACAGTGGACTCTAGAATCAATTACAGTGTAATGATGCTGTTCATTTAATTTTAGCCAAAAGCCTCAAATTCCATGTGTGTGCAGTGCCACAGTGGACTCTAGAATTCAGCTGACCTCTTATCTTACCACCATACAAGTAATAAATTATAAGCCTTTAGAAAAAAAACATTTGTTGTGACACAGTCTATGACAAAAACATTTATTAAAATATAGTCAATAAATAAACAAAGCAGGGCCACATGTTTGAAGGAGAAGAAAGAACCTACCCAACCATGGTATCTGTAGATGTTGGGACTTTAGAAGTAATGCCAAGTTCACTAAGTTCTGGTGATTTAATACACCGTGCTGTTGTTCCAAAGGGTAAGGTTGCTACATTTGCTTCACGGGCCATATTTTGACGTACAGCCTTGCACTGGCTTTCTGAAATTCCACCTTGGCTTTTATTGGATAAGGCATCCTCTGCTTCCTGCTCAAAGCCAGCATGTTGAAAAATGAAGAGTTCAAGGAAGTCTCAAGCTTAAAACCTTGGCTCATGACTGAGTTGACGGGTGACCTGAGCAAGTTACGCAATCCTGCTTACGCCAGCTAAGCCTTCTTCGAAACATGGGAAATGATACCTCTCACGCTCGCGAATCTCTACGGCAATACTATTCTAAAAGGAGTATAGCGATCAGAATGATTAATTTGATTGACTTCATCTACCTACAGGCTTGCAAAATACCTGCAATTTCACAAATGCAGTTAATTGAATGTAGTCGCAGTAGTTATCCTCTGCACCAGTCAGGAAATTCAAGCTCTGTCCCTTGAATATAAATGGCAGAATCAACGCTACGTGCATCATGTTGTACGTGGGCTGACAGGTCCTATCAGGCTTACCAGGGCTATCTGCCCTTGGTAAACCACAATGCATGGAATTTATCTCCTATTTTGTTAGGCTGTACATGTGACCATGTACACATACGTTTATATTGCTTTCAGGGAAAATTGTTTGGTGTTTGCTCTCCTTTATTTTTTTTTTTTCTGCCAGACCAAAACTTTCACCTGCTGAGCTGTTCTGTGGAGAGATTGCAGAAAGCAACTTCATTTAAAGGTTTGCTCTTATATCAGTGAAAAACTTGACATATTTGCATATCTGAATCAGGTAATGTAGAGTTACAGAATGTTGCATACGTCTTGTCTTGGGCAATAACTCTTCTGAGAGAGCGAGAATAGATATGCTGAGCTTTTACTTTGCGATTCTCTTCAGAGTAATGAAAAAAAATTGGGTGTGAAAATTCAGTTCAGGGAAGTTCTGGATAACAGCCGGCGAGGCTTTTTCAATGCCTGTGGCAAAGGCTAGGTAGAAAAAAAAATTGGTGCTTCATAGTAGTAGCTTAACTAAGTGTTTCGAAAGAGATAGGCCTTAGCCTATACGAGAACAGACGAGCAACATGGACCTGCAGCAGTTCTGTAGTTAAAGTCTCACTGATTATGAGTAGGGGCTCTTCTCAGAAACGTGTTGGATGAGACATTGATTATGAATTCAGTTGAGCAGGAAGGTGGTAAAATGGAAGGAAGCTACTTTTCTCTGGTTTACGTTATTGATAAGACTTTGAGCACAGACCAGTGTTGCCAACTTCCTGTGCCCTCTAATATTGTAACATTGCTTTTTCTTTCTTCTTTTTATTCAGTTAGTTTATTTATTGATTTATATATTTAAGTCCAAGCTTCTGGAGCCATGTGATTATCCCACAGTCTTACTTTGTAGTAGGTTGGGGGTAGAGCCTGGAGTAAGAATTCAGAGTACAAGGTTGACAAGAAAAGGAAGCTACAAAAAC